CAAGTCCAGCACAACCACTCACCGTTGACAAAGAGACTGTCTCTGTCCAAGGCATAGAAACCCAGTTGGGTGATGCCATGGGTCAGCTGGCTCAGCTCCCAGTACAGTCGTTCTCTGTCCAACCCGGGGCCCACGGGGTCAGGGCGGTAGGTGCAGACTGCATCCACGCCGGTGGCTGCCCTGTCCTTCTCAGGCCTGGGGAGACAGGGACGTGGGGACTCTAGAGAGGTCCTGAGACCTTTGGAGGTAAAGACCCATCAGAGGGAGAAGCCAACAGGAGGACAAATGGCCTTGAAGTGGTCTCACCTGAGGGAGATCAGTCTACAACCCGAGTAGAAGGTGCCCAGACTGCTCTTCTGGAACAAGAGTCCAAGCTGGGGAGGAAGAAGGAGGAGGGTAAGCAGGAGGGACAGGAGGAGGAGCTGGGTGGGATCGATCCCACCAGGAGCTGCTGGGACCAGAGTCTCACCAGCTGCTGCAGGATCCTCTCGGTGGAGTCGAATGTGTCTGAGCCATAGCCCATGTCTGGTGAATACTGGAGGTTGGAGATGATGAAGTTGAGTGTGAAGGTCTTCAGAATGTGCCCCATGGCTGCAGAAAGGAAGAGGGAGAGACATCTACAACCTAGAGCTGGCCTGAGACCAGATTGGAATCCTGCACTCATTGTAATCTGTCATCTTCTCTCTCAGCGGCATGACCACCTACCAATGTAGCCATCCAAGTCAGAACCCATGTATCTCCTCACCTCCAAGCAACACCAATTCTACCTGCTAAACATTCCTCACATACATTTTCTCTCTCCTTCCCCGTCCCAGCTGAGGTCTTATCTTCTCTCACCAGGATGAGCACTCCAGCAGACTCACTGGAGGCCCTATCTAAAGGATGTTCTCAACACTGAACACTAGAAGAATCTTTCTGCAATGATAATCTCACTAGGACCACCCCCTGCTCTAGTACCATCCATGGCTCCCTTTTAAGTTCAAGCTTCTTGACTCGGCATTCAAGGCTCTTCTCAATGTGGCTCCTGCTGACCTTTCATCATCATTTATTCATCCACTCTAGGTTAAGCTTTATACTTCATGCAAACCAAATTCCTCTCAGTTTTCCCCATACACTATGCTGCTTCTGGCCACTGAGATTTTGCTTATGGAATCCCCTCTGTCAGGAACACTCTTCCTACACTATTTGTCTGGATCACTCCCACTCATCCTTAAAGACTCAGTTCAGGTGAAACTTTCTCCAGAAAGCCCTCCCTTCTCCAAATTACACCAGGTGCCTCTCCCCAAAACACGCCATGTTGTGTTATAATGGTCTGTTTGTCTCACACGACTGGAGGTTCCATGAGGGCAGGCACATGACTGAATTGCTAGTCTAATCTTTGTGATTAGAATGACCACCCTGACACTAGAATCTTCAAACTCTGGCATCCCAGCTCCCATGTGACAACTGGATGA